TGTCGGCACACGAACCGATACATGCTACAGGAGATTGCAGATTATGGAAAGGCATGATCGCCCACGCCAGTCGGCAAGGCAACTGATGATGATGATGATGATACCTAGGAGTCGGAACCTTGGGGTCCCTTGTATCCTCCAACCCGTGATGGCTCAAGGCATTGCAGAACTGCAGCACTAACCAGTTTCACTCGACACTGTGACCTTCAACAGCTTATATTTTTAGTTGCCTCTCAGTGAGAAAGCTACAGTGAAGCAGCGCCCCCTACTAATTTAAGCCTAGGGCAGCCACGGCCCTCACCACAGAAAAAAAAAAAAATAGAATTTTCACCTTGTGTCTATTAGATTTCCCTAATATACTATGTCTTTTGAGCGTCTTGTGCCCCACGAAGTTTTAGTTTTAGCTTATTCTATCCCAGCTATTGTTTCAGCTCCATAGTGTTAAACCGTTTTAGTCCCATACATTAGAATACTCTGAGCAACTATGGTTTAGGAAACAAATGTCTAGGACTGAACGACCTAAGCGCCCCACTCTCCAACCTTATATAGAAGGGATCTGCATTGGGTGGTGCACTGATGCATGACAGACTAGACGCTGAATATTGAATTAGGAATCGACATATTAGCACTCGGGATACCACCATAAGCGCTCCATCCCCATCTTCAGCAGCAAACAAAGAGTTCCAATTTCGATGGTAGACGTGATGGTATCCAGTTTCTGACTGCCCCCCCCCCTTCCCCCCCTTCTTTTCCAACACTATTTATATCCCATTTTAAACCTGAATAGTTAAACAGGATATCAAAAATAACATTACTTTTCCAGCCTACCATTTTGTTGTATCAAGAACCAGAATGGCTCTATGTCTCGCCGTGTGTGCACTTACTATTGTTTTAGAACACTTTGCTAGGATAACATAAGAATTATTCCGCCATGAATTGTGTTGTTACCATGGCACCGGAAAACTCTTCATAAATGAACATTGGAAATGACCACTTGCAACCAAACACATAAAAATTCCTTCTCCTTCCTTCATATTTTTATTTTGTATTCTTCAGCATTTCTAGCCCTTAAGGTTTATTGCTCAGATATCACCAGCTTCCATTTATCTATGTCAGTGGTTCTCAAACTCTTAATGCTGCAACCCTTTAATACAGTTCCTCATGTTGTGGTGACGCCCAACCATAACATTATTTTCGTTGCTACTTCATAACTTCAGTGAATATGTGTTTTTCGATGGTGTTAGGCGACACATGTGACCCCCAGAGGGGTCACGACCCACAGGTTGAGAACCGCTGATCTATGTCTTTGGCCCTCTCTTTCCAGTTGACAAATCCAAGAATGTGTAGGTTTGACCTAATATACGCCGAAATTGGAGGCTCAGGTCCCTTGAGGGCACCCCACCCCCGCCTCGCGATTTCTCACCTACCACCCCTATAATACTGTAAGGGGACAAAGAAAATCAGAAATGGGCCTTATGTGCTGAAGGGTGCGGCAGCATAAGATATGGAACAAAGATTTTTATAAGTACATACCAGCAGTTGATTGTTTCAGTCATGAAGAATGATCTGGGACTGCTTACAATATTACAAAGCCAACTGAAAAGTTAAAACGGTTGCAACATTAAGTTAGGCGAGTCATTCTGGTATGTACCCGGCATACACCTCGTGTGTATGCGGCACACATTTGAGTTGCTACCTGTATGGCAAAGATAAGGATGCTATGAGCAACAATGTACAACGCTTTACATGAAACTTGGGCAAAGCCAGGTGGAATATACCAAAAAGGGGTTTTTCGTGGTTGCCACATGTAGAAGTAACTATCTTAAACGTGTACTATCTGAAATGTGTGTGCAGTTGACAATAGAGTACACCTAAGGAATAGACAACATTGCCGTCCAGGTAGAAAGCCCTGCATTGAGTGGTAGTTACCTTAGAGCAAGGGTGTCAGGAATGGATGGTTGGTGCAACTGATATCGCTGCAAAAACTAATCAGTGAAAGTTCTCGCCCGAATTATATCGTTATATACACGATATATCTGTGGTGAGAAATAAATAAATGTGCATAGGGTTTCATTGTAAAGAAGGTTGGAAGCTGATCAAAATATAAGAGAGCTACGCAAATAACGTCCTAACTTCAAGCATGAGAATGGAGGTGGAAGCAGTATCCGCAGCTTTTCGATGGCTAGAGAGTAGTACACTAATATGTGTCGTAATTATAATGGACTCGCAAAGCAGGCTTCGGGAAATTGAAACTGGTATATTGCGCTCAGAGTGGCTTGCATCGCTTTGTAAGACTCAGATCAGAATCGTATCGTAGATTTTTTGCCTAGGACATTAGGTCATCATCATCATTAACCACTTCTGCCGTTAAGCGACGTGGGGAAGAATAATTTGCGATCAAGTGCACGTTGGCTGCAAAGCTGCAGCAGATGCGGAACTGATATCGCTGCAAAAACTAATCAGTGAAAGTTCTCGCCCGAATTATATCGTTATATACACGATATATCTGTGGTGAGAAATAAATAAATGTGCATAGGGTTTCATTGTAAAGAAGGTTGGAAGCTGATCAAAATATAAGAGAGCTACGCAAATAACGTCCTAACTTCAAGCATGAGAATGGAGGTGGAAGCAGTATTCGCAGCTTTTCGATGGCTAGAGAGTAGTACACTAAGATGTGTCGTAATTATAATGGACTCGCAAAGCAGGCTTCGTGAAATTGAAACTGGTATATTGCGCTCAGAGTGGCTTGCATCGCTTTGTAAGACTCAGATCAGAATCGTATCGTAGATTTTTTGCCTAGGACATTAGGTCATCATCATCATTAACCACTTCTGCCGTTAAGCGACGTGGGGAAGAATAATTTGCGATCAAGTGCACGTTGGCTGCAAAGCTGCAGCAGATGCGGAAGCTGCTGCTCGTGAGTCCTAGCAATCTAGTTTAGCCCTAATCCATGACGCGTGAGGGACAGTGGAGGTGGCGGTAGTCGCCGGAAAACCGCAAATTAAGTCGCCGGAAGTGCGGAATGGACACGTGACTGAGGCTCGTAATGATATTTTGCGGCCGCCATCTTTAGTGCCCGTCATTCGGAGGATAGCCCAGTTATTTACTGTCTAACAAGCCGCGTTAGTTTCCCGTTTATTTTTCATTAGAACCAGACCAGACACACTCACGCACGGGCACACCCACATGCACGCTCATTTAAACTTACACTCACTACAAAACGGCATCCTATCCAAGCGAAGCTGGGGTCAAACCATGAACCATGACCCGGAAGAGATGCCTGTTCGCAAATACAGTGCACAAGAGGTGTACGAATATATAGTAAGCCTATCAGAGCAGACAGAAGCAGGGATCGCTTGCTAGATGTGTCTACAGCAAGCAAATATTGCCTTTGTTTCGTTAATCCAAGTGATTCTTTCATAACAATATATTTGTCGTCTAAAATGTCAGTAATGTTAATCTGCTTTTGTGAAGTAACTCACTTTGTCTCTGCCAAAACTGATTTTTCATTGACATTATTAAATAATAATATTAATATATGATGTATAGTATTGTAAACAAACTACAGGAGTGCGTTTGCCTAAGAGGCAAGGAATCAGCAGTATGCATACAGATCTGTAAAACGGATGCACACGCAACACTCAGGTTCTGGAGCAGGACTGCAGTCCAGAATTGGATGAACAACCAGAACTTTTCAGCTGGTGAACGCGAAGAAAAAAAAACAGTGGGATTTGGAGGAGTGCCAGGTGGGCACTCCTTTCAAAGTATCTTTACTCATTTTAGGGATGCTAGAGAAGTTTTGTATATTGGGTTTTTTCTTATAAAACTATCACAGCTAGAGATTAAAATTACGGGCTATCCTCTGAATAACGGTCGTAAATTATCGAGGCTGAAAGTATACCCTAACAGGGCCTCAGTCACGCGTCAATTGCACACTTTCATCGTCTTAAAATGCGCGCTTATGGCGACTGCCGGATTGCGAACTTTCTGCAACTTCTGCCACCGCCGAGAGTGTCCCCCACGCCGCTCACGCTGCATGGATTAGGGCTAAACTAGATGGCTAGGACTCATGAGCAGCAGCTACCGCATCTCCTGCAGGTTCCTTCATTTTATTTGCTCGTGAGTCCTAGCATGAGCGGTGTGTGTGACACTCTCGGCGGAAGTTGCCGGAACTTCGCAATTCGGCGGTGGCGTTATAGCAACGATTCCCAGAGCCTACAACTTTCAGACCAAAAGGCAAATGGTTTAACATATTTCTTCTCTTCTTTGTCCATGGTATTCTGAGAATCTTTCTGTAGCATTTAAGCTCAAATGCCCCTATTTTCTTTCTTAAGTACTAGGAGATAATCTAGGACTGGCATCCGTATGTTGCTACAGTTAAAGACACATGCTCTCAAAATTTTAATTTTGATTTCCTTGCTGTTGCTTAGGGCAGGTAACATCTATAATTGTTTGGGAAGGGAAAATTATGAGGAAAGCAACTGACCAACCCAGCTCATATGTTATGACCTATATAGTGTGATCGCTTAACACTTTACACCCTAACAGCACTGTCTTCTTTATGCTTAAGTGAAGGACCCTTTACCATGCCATCAGATGTACTGGGCCTAAAGTGCAAGACCTACATTTTTTAGACCAGTCAGCACTCGAATGTGGTCAGCGTTATGCCTGCCATTTTTATTTCCCAGGACTTTACCTGGTACCCATTTTAGGCTAGGTCGACATGGGAACCAAGGTCATTTTTGAAAAAGAAAGGCCTGTTCCATTCAGATTAGAACCCCACCTTCTTTGGATCTTCTGTATGATCAGTATATTTATATATAAATTGAGTTTGTATTTTTTTTTCTGCAGCAACTGAACAGTTCAAGGTTAAGACATTCTTAGTTTCCAGGGAACAGACTTTGAATTCAGCAGAAATTTGTGGTAGTATTTCATTAGTAAAAGCATGCTTTGTCAATGCAAAAACATTGTTATGTGTACACAATTTCTTTAAGTCCAACATGGATGAGGACAAAGGTGAAGAGGAGGGTGAGTCAAAAAACAGGCAGTGCTTAAATGAAAAATCAGTGTCAAATAGTGATTCTCAGAATAATAACATAGTTTCAAGTCAGGTTCAGAATACAAGTGAAATGGCTGATTTCCTTGGGATTGTCCACCAAGACTCATCATCTTGTGAGAACAAGCAGAGAACATTACCTCCAGAGGGAGACCATGAAAACACATCACAGTTTTTCCCACTGGTTAGTCATCGGAAGCTATCTTTAAATGGTGCTGGAACAGCAAATGGAGCTGGTTTAGTCACTTCTCCTGTGAATGCCGTAGGAAAAGCCTCAAGTACAGGAACTCTTCCTCCTACTTCACAGTTTTATGTTCATGGTAACAAAGCAGAGTATATGGTTCCTTCTGCGGCTTCTGATTTTATGGCAAACTTCCCTGCTTTGATCTGCAGTGGTTGTTTAGGCCTTGGTCTAGGAAATGGCCCACAACTTACTGGTACCTGTAGTGCTAATTCAGCAAAGACAGCCAATGGAGAGTCTGAGGCAGATTTTATGGTGTGTGGGCAGAATATGTTCACACATGCCTCACAGCCAGTGCTGTCACCCCCACATAATCAGGGACAGGCTGTTTACAACTGGCAGTCAACCAAAATCAGCGTAAAAGAACGATTGGCTTACCTCTACAGCACTGGTTCGATGACTGACATTCAGTTTAAGGTATTTGCTATTATTGATTGTGTATGCTTTTGTTCGTCGTAGCTGCTTGACTCATATGAGATGAGAAGCTAGTAGTTGGAACTGAAGTTGTCAGCTGTTTATTGTAGTATGGTCTGTGGTGTCAAGTGTTTATTTTAGGATATTCTGTTGTGTCAAGTGTTTATTGTAGAATAGTTGATGATTTCAAATTTTTATTGTAGAATAGTTTGTGATGTCAAGTGTTTATTGTAGGAAAGTCTGTGGTGTCAAGTGTTTATTTGAGAAAAGTCTGTGGTGTCAAATGTCTATTTTAGGATGGTCTGTGGTGTCAAGTATGTATTGTGATATAGTCTGTGGTGTCAAGTGTTTATTTTATGATAGTCTATGGTGTCAAGTGTTTATTGTAGAATTGTCTGTAGTGTCAAGTGTTTATTTTAGGATAGTCTGTGGTCTTAAGTGTTTATTGTAGGATAGTCGGTGCTTTCAAGTGTTTATTGTAGGATAGGTGATGCTTACAAGTGTTTATTGTAGAATCGTCGGTGGTTTTAAATGTTTATTGTGGGATCGTCGATGGTGTGCAGTGTTTATTGTAAGAATCTGTAGTGTCAAGTGTTTATTTTAGGAAAGTCTGTGGTGTCAAGTGCTAATTGTTGGATAGTCTGTGATGTCAAGTGCTAATTGAAGGATAGTCTGTGATGCCAAGTGTTAATTGTAGGATAGTCTGTGGTGTCAAGTGCTAATTGAAGGATAGTCTGTGATGTCAAGTGCTAATTGAAGGATAGTCTGTGATGCCAAGTGTTAATTGTAGGATAGTCTGTGGTGTCAAGTGCTAATTGTAGGATAGTCTGTGGTGTCAAGTGCTAATTGTAGGATAGTATGTGGTGTCAAGTGTTTATTGTAAGATAGTATGTGGGGTCAAGTGTATATTGTAGGATAGTATGTGGTGTCAAGTGTTTATTGTAAGATAGTATGTGGGGTCAAGTGTATATTGTAGGATACTTGGTGTCTGTGGCTTAAAAGTTGTGAATGCAAATTAACAATCCTGACATAACGGTGTAGGAAGTCAGCTGTTGGCAGTGGTAGGAGACTTCTTTGTGTTGATTTCAACTATGGTATGAGTATCCTACTGTTCAGAGGCCATGACAAACTGTTCCAGCATAAAATTACCTCATGAAACCACACAGAATTAATAAGTGATTTGCTTGTTCTGCTGTGCCCTGAAAAGGATATGTAACTAACTTTTAATTTTTTTTGTTGTTGTTGTTGCAACATGCATGATAGAAAGGTACCTACATCTCTATGTCTTAATTTTTTCATCTACAGGTAGTAGACGAAATAAAGAGAAACATAAATTAATGTGGTCATATCTTTGTTTTACATAATAGTAATAGTCAGTTGGTAAATACCACCAAAATGGTGATGAAAAAATAAGAAGAATTAACAAATATAAATTAATAGATAAGTAAGTAAAGTAAAACGTAAAGATACCTTTACACGCCCTTAGGCGCATCAGGCATATGGGAAGAGCACCCATATTTTTATAGACCAATCGGCACTCGGTGGGTAATGTGGTCAGCATTATAATAGATAAGTGATTGGTTTAATTATAATGGTCATTCTTGGTTTAACTTAGTTCTGTTATAATTCCATGGACTAGGTTTCATTTCTGAGTTGTTGTGAGGGGCCATTTCTGACACCAGTAGCTTTTGATGGGAATGCGATTTTTTCCTAGTGCTTGTCCAGACCTTCTTATGTTGAAATAGGCGATGAGGGATATTACTCAGTATATCTCTTTCATAAAACTTAAGTTTTCAATTGCATTTTTTTTTCTTAAAAGGTTAAATGTTTCAGTTTTAATGAAGTAGCCTCTCTGTGTGGATTCCGGGGCCCTATTGTTGGGAAAACAAGAATAGACCTCCTACTTACCCAATAGCCTGTCGTAAGAGTCGACTAATTGTGAGCTTCCTTCAAAGTCAGAGTGCATCTGCCTGAGAGGCGAGGAACCAACAGTCGGCATAAAGATGAGTCAGACCTGTAAATTGGATGTGCACGCAACACTTAGGTTCTGGTACAAAACTTAAGTCCAGAAGTAGATGACAATCAGTACTTTCTGCTTGAGTTTACAGTCTGTGAATGCGAAGAAGAAGAATGAAGTAGCCCTTCATAAATAATTGTATTACTTTCATATACAAAGATATTAGCATTATTTACCACAGAGTATTTTATTTTTGCCTGTTATTTTTTCTTCTGGTATGTCTTATGCTTGTGTTCTTGTATTTACTACTAAACAGTTACTTTATAAGAAGTGTGAGACATAAATAATTTATAAAAAGTGAGAAATAAGGACAGGACATAAGCTGATCCTATGTGCACTATTCTCATCCCTTTTAGAATACACTCAGTTTATTCTTTCACAGCACAGATAATTGTCACTGTATTTTTTTGGGCTTGTTTATAGGTTGGTAAGCCGCCAGATCACCAGATAATGTCTGCTCACAAGTTCATCCTTTCGATCGGTAGTGCTGTTTTTGATGCTTTATTTAATGGTCACTTGGCAGCTTCAGAAAATTTGATTGAAATCCCAGACATCGAACCGACAGCATTTTCGGCACTGATGAGGTTTCTTTATACAGATGAGGTGAAAATCGGGCCTGACACGGTCATGACTACACTTTACGCTGCCAAAAAATATGCCATACCTGCATTAGAGCGAGCGTGTGTGGAGTTTTTGAAACGTGACCTGACCCCTGATAATGCGTTCATGCTGTTAACACAAGCTCGTTTGTTCGATGAACCACAGCTGGCGGCGTTGTGTTTGGAGATGATAGACAAGAACACCACAGAAGCTCTTGCAGCTGAAGGGTTCACTGATATCGATTTGGATACCTTATGTGCAGTTCTGGAGCGGGACACTTTGGGCATTAGAGAATGTAAACTGTTTTCTGCTGCTTGTAGATGGGCAGAAGCTGAATGCATTAGACAGAATCTCACCCTTCCAACAAGTAACAATCAGGTAAGCAACAGCTGTATAATAACAGTTTTGTATAATAAAAAGTTGTGGGTCATTTCCACAGTGAGGTTAGCTGCAGTTGATATGTTCATTTGGTGCTTTTTTCGGGAAAATTACATAGTGAGTGAACATTACACTTGCACAGAGGTCTGCCGTAACAACATATGGCTCGTGTTGTAGGCCCATGACAGTTAAACTATAACACCGCCAGAGCACACAGCAATCTTTAATGTACAGGACAATATAACCAACGGTAGTTCACCTCAGAAGTCATGGGCACCCCTATCCGAAACAGAGGCCGTAAGGGCTTTACAAATCACCTCTCACTCCTATCACGTTACCATGGATAGTACCCGGGTAGGAACCCACACTGCTTCCGTACAGCTCTTGCCTCTGTAACTGAAATCCACATCAGGATCACGGAACATCTGCTGAGTGCGGGTCAAGTGAGTGAGGACAGATCAAATCAAAACAACCAATACAAACCAATCTTAGCTACCAGACTAACAGTAATACCTAACCAGCTACCCACGGAACAAGCTACACAGAAAACCCATCTCTGTCGAGCGCTGTATAACACAGAAGTACTGCTTCTATCTAATAAAACACTACAGCTACAGTCTCACATCCTGGAAGCCAAACTCTCTGTCCAGATCTTTCAGTCTGCTATTTTTGTTTAAATAAGCAGTTTAGTCTCTGTTCTTGCGGGACTCCTGGCTTCGCAAGCGAACCACTTCCTGCCCTCGCCCGTTTGTCTCGGTGAACTCCGGGTTATGCCTCTTGTTATGTAAGTGCAGACGTGAAACATTTACTACTATCATATTGGCTGTCCCATACCCACACTGGTCTCTGGTGCTAAGCCTATGTTACATCTTATGCTAGAGGTAACAGTTGCTGAAAAATAACAGGCAGAAGTCGCCAAAACTTTATAATGATGGAACTTATCAGTCCACCAAAATGTTATTGACAAGCAAAAACTATGATGTTTATTGTCAGTGGTTACTCGCTTGTGTTTGAACTAATATAATTAATTACGTATGTCAACAGACCTTGATTTTTAGCAAGTTAAATACTTTCATTCGTCACACTAGCCGGCAGTTGTGTAATTAAACTGCTATTACACAGAAAGGATTGAATTATATAGGACAGACTCATGTGATATCTGACTGGCATCCATGGCACCTGTGAAGCGCAAGACAAATACAGAAAACCATGACACACCGATGGGCTACAACCTGGTATCAGTGAGAAGAAAAAAAGAAGAAGATTCATCACACTCCATTTATCAAGTAAGTTGTGCAAGCAACCTTGAGCAGAAATTCCAGTTGTAATACAAATTCCTGGCCACAAACACAGCCATCCTCAGACATTGTCCACGACATCTGAGCTATAATTTCACAAGAGAAAATTAAGAACCTTTACCTCTCACATGGAGCACAAAGCACTAAGCTCTCCCACGTAGTGCGGCCATCAGATAGTGAAAATATACAAATATATCAAGGCTAGCTTCAGGACCTTCAGCAATTTGCCTTCCTTAATTGATCCATTCACTACAGCTGTCAGTAAGGGACATCATATCTACCATCATATAGCTTGTTCAGTAGTGGTGTGACCTATTGTGGAGCTTAGGATTGTACACAACAGGTCCCCATGTGGTGTTCCTAGGGCCCCATTGTGGGTAAAACAAGAATAGACCCATTGCTTCCCCAACAAGCATGTAGTAGGAGTCGACTAATTGGGGGCTTCCTTCAAGGTCGAAGTGCATCTGCTGGACAGCAAGGAACAACCACCTGCACACAAATAAGCCAGAAAATTGATATACATGCAAAACAGGCCCTGGCACAAAACCAAAGTCCAGCCGGATGAATAACCAGGACTTTCCGCCGGAGCTTACAGCCAGTGAACAAAGAAGAAGAAGTACAGGACGGTGAGACCCTAGTCTCTACCACAGTACAACTCACATACAACTGTCTGAAAACCACGAGAACAGTAGAAAGGTTTAAATACTATATAAGGTAGTTTCATACACTTCCTCACATTGTCAGCTCATATTTTAATATTCTTTTATTTCTCCACTTACTTTGTCTCTTCCTCCTCTTACCTCACTTAAGTGTCTGAAGGAGATGTAGGGTTTTTCTGAATGGTCTTTCTAATATATTATGTCAGTTAGTTTTTATTTTTCTGAGATTGTTCTCGATCTGGTCGCTCAATCTTTTACATGGTCATCCCCTTTTATGGCATCCTTGTAGTTGAAAAAATCCTAGATTGAACAACTGTAAACTCCATGTGGGTTCCTGAGCCCCATTTTAAGGGGGGAAACAAAAAAATGCTAACCTCATAACAAGCATTTCTTACATGGTAACTTATAGAAGTGTGTTGAAATAGGATGTGTTGTGTGTCAGATTTCCAGTCTGGCTGTAAATAAAAACTCAGTGTTCCAACTGCCTTTTAGAGGGCAAGCACAGAAGAAAAAGAATAACAACTACAGCATCAACATAGTTGACAATGTCCTTGATTAACAGTTAACAGCTATTCAGCTTTATATTTTACTGGAGAAGTCACTATCATTGTCGAATGCTTTTCTTCAGTAAAAATACTATGATAATTATCATAATATATTTATTGGAAAACAGCATACGTCAGTGATGTGATATAACAGGATGCAGATAAGGTTCTATGTCACATAAGAGTCGCAGTAAGAATGAAACAGAAAAATGCCATTGATTTTTCTTTTTCTTCATGCTCGGCAGCTGTAAACTCTGACTGAAAGTTCTGCTTGTTTATCCATTCCTGGGCTTTAGTCTTGTTCCAGAACTTGAGGTTTGCATGCAGTCATTTTACAGATATGATGTAATAAGTGGGAAATCTGTGACATCAAAAGGGGTTCCCCAGTGAGATGCCAGTTAGGAAAGAATTAGTGGGAAAGCGTGTTACAAGAGGGATTGTGAGTTACATGTGAATGATTGAATGATTGTGTGAAATCTCATGAAGCGAAGCGGGCAAGTGGACAGGAGAAAGGAAGAACAGAGGGTTCTGTGGCAGATTGTGAAAGGGAAGTGGTCGGTGTGACTGGGTGGACTATGAGAGAACTTGGATAGTTCACAGCGAGATTGAGTATCTGGCAAATGCAAAAGCATCGCTGAGTGGAAGAGAGAAGCTTATTACTAACCGAAGTCGAGAGAGGAATTCTTGCTGTTTACCAGTGATGACAGGCAGGGGTGAATGGCAGTGACAAGTCCAAACAAGGTAAAGATGTGTAAGCACCTGATTAGCTCTTTCTGATGCAGGATAGATAGCAGCAGAGAATAATACCAAGATGATTTTGATGAAGTCGACGAGGCTGATTGATCAGTAATAAACATTTGTGTGTGTCCGCTGGCTTTATCTTGGTGTATCATTACTACTAACTCTCTCAACTATGTAGTCAAAATATCTAGACGAAGGAGAGTCATTGCATATGGCTTATTAAATGCAGACTGTTGGTCCCTCACCTCTGAGGCAAATAACTCTGACTTTGAAGGAAACATCCCTAAATTAGTTGCCTTTTACATCATGCTTGCAGTGGGCCGTAGATCCCCCCAATGATACTCTTAACTTGAACTTTATACATAAATATAACTGTCTTAGAGAAAGTACAATTTTTAAATATCTTGAAGCATTGGTGATTATGGTGCTAGCCTCATATTTTATAAAGCAGTTAGTACACGTCAGGTATATGGCCCATATCACACTGGCGACCCCCTTTACTTCCCATGTCAGTTCCTGTTTCCTTTTTATGCCAGGTTACCTAGGAGTCACTTTCTTTAAATTACCTAAACACAGAGCTGATGATATTTTTCAATTTCCAGAGACATATGTTAGTTAAAAATTAACATTATTTGAGAATGGAAATTACATTTTTAAGGTTTACTCTTTGTAGCGCCGTGTTCTGTCTCGAGCTCTACGTCTGATCAGGTTTCCGCTGATGACGGTGGAAGAGTTTGCTGTCGGACCAGCACAGAGTGGAATCTTGGAGGACAGAGAGGTGGTGGAGCTGTTTCTATACTTCACTGTCAATCCTAAACCCAGCATTAGTTTCCTGGATGTGCCCAGATGTTGTCTGACTGGCAAGGAGCAGGTGGTCTCAAGGTTCTGTCAGATTGAAAGTAGATGGGGCTACAGTGGAACCAGTGACAGGATAAGGTATGTGGTCGTTAAGCTTAGTAGATTTTCAGCTTGTATGAGTTAATTTGATGACAAATCTTGTCCCTTGTTCATGTTTGATTGGAGTGTTTCCTCCTAGACTATGATTGTTACACTTTCTTCTAGGGTACCCTTTCCTGCCATTTTGTTTCTTGTATTACTGTTATATCAATTTTATAATCTGATTGCTCATGACTTAATTCTGCCGCTCTATAAAGGGGTGACATATTGACTGTTCTAAATCTAAAAAATCCTTTAATGTTCCAGGGTTATCGTCTGAAGAAGAAAAGATAAGCTTTTGTTTTTTTAAATAAGTAAGATTCTCCAATAAAGGGAGCCATGATGCAGCCTTAGGATCACCTACAACCCCAGAGGTTTTGTGACTGAATATACACTGAGTTCAGTTTTAATCATTGACATTTTTCCACAGTAGATCTGCACCATTTGGTGGTGAATTGATGTGTGACAAGCTAGATGTTGTAAGGGCCCTTTGGGAGCGAGCGAACAATGTGGAGGCACTAATAGATTTGTTTGGTCTGAGGAGAATGGTGCTGCCTGGAGTTACCAGGGGATCTGGCCAGCGTTCAACACTCAAGGGAAGGGCGAGATGAAAATACAATCAGACAGTTAGTAGTACCATCGGAATTGGAACTCGGGGACAGAGTGCTAATGTAAGTGTCCCGAGTCTGTGATGTTGATTCTTAATTCACCATTCTACGGTAGATCTAGCCAGATATGGGGGCCAGCAAATACCATTTGAAGTTAATTTAACTGGCCTGATGTTGACCCCATTACCCCGTGAGGGCAGATTGCCATTTATAAAATGTAAATCTAGCTCTGTATGCCTGAAGCGGCAGTGGTGGTAATAGGATTTTTTACTTACTGCTTTGAAATCTGTCAAAAACTCACCTTTAGAGAGACATCAGTGACCGGGTCGCCCATTGGCTGGCCTATGGATGGCTTCATCGTCGATCGGAACAGTATTTGGATCTGTCTGGCTTGATCGCATCAACACTGCAAGAGTCCTTTTCAGGGCTACATGGTGGCGAGCAATGCTAAGCCATTTTTTATGCTGCACATAAACCTAGTCACAGTTATAACCCCTTCAGGGGATGCTGGTTGAATGTGATGATGTTTTTCGCAAGTAAAGTCAAGGAGCCGAAAAAAGACTTCATCATTTGCAGTGTCCTTTGCAAACTGATGATCAGGTTCAAGACAGTTTCCATGCCTTCTGTATTTTTATGCTTAAGATATCTCCAATACTTTGTCCCCCTTCCTACTGTGTGATCCCTGCTACTTCTTCTATGAACCATGCCTAGCTAGTACTTTCTTTCTAAATCGATCATCAGTCAGCTGGTGTTTTACATAGCGTCACTCTCATTATGGCACGCCTGAAAATCCTTTCTCTAGCAAATTCTCAAGCCCTATGAGCTTTCGCAGCTATTAGTAATTGTGAAATGAAATTTTTTTGCTTTTTGGTGGTTAACACATTGTATTTTTGTTTACAGCTAGGCTAGTCTGTTATATCTTCGCCTTCCAGTCCAACATTTCTAATATCAGCAAATCCTTAGTCGCCTTTTATGATGTGCTTCCTAAGGGGCTCTGGAACATTATCACTGTTCTGTGCTTCCTTCGTCGTCCTAGTAACATATAAGTGGTTTCAGTAACACAGAATTCCTTCATAGTCGGAGTACATCTGCCTGAGAGGCAAGGAACTAGCGTTCTGTGTACAAATAAACCTAATCTGTAAAACAGATGTGCATGCAAAACTAAGCTACTGGGGCAAGACCAATATCATGAAGGGGATGAACAACCAGAACTTTCCACTGGAGTTTACGACCAGAGAATACTAAGAAGAGGAGAAAATAAAAACATAAATAATAATAATTAACTTGACAGGTTCAAGATGGGGTACTATCATAAAATGAAAATAAAAAGCTACTCTTTGAAGTACAGACAATCAGCACTATATCATCAATCAAGCCCCAATTGGTCTGTAAGCAGAGGCTAGAACCTTACTTAAACCCCTCCGATTGCATAGAAAAAAAAGTCTGTTATCGCTTTACTTACGTTAACATTCTGACTGTATTTTCAAAATGAATTTTCAGATTAATGGTCAACAGAAGAATATTTGTTGTGGGCTTTGGTTTGTATGGAAGCATTCATGGTCCTACAGAATATGCTGTGAATATTCAGGTAAGGAAATTCAAAACTGAACATTAAGATGAATTTGTTAATAGTTATGCATTTATCACTGGACATGTTCAAGGGTCATTGCTTTCATTACTAGGTCTTTTTCTTCAGCATTTTTGTCTCTTCCTAGGGTTCTTCATTTTGACCTTATAGTTGGGTTGTTTGTTGGTCTATATTGTTATATGCCTAGATCATTTCCCATATTTCTGGGTCTTTAGAACGGTTGTCACTGTTTTTAGTGCAGAACAATTTTGATACCTGGGCATACCTGAGTGTACAAAACAGAGTGCCAAGAAGAAGCAGAAAAAATGCCGGCCGCTGACAACAATGAGTAAAAGACAATTTGTTGCTGGCCGCTCACTATAGAAGGCTAAAAGCATCAAAGACAACATGGGACCCCCCTGTGACATAGACCAGTACGTGGGAAAGGTCACGAAACATGAATGAAAGGCCAACACATCTTGTGCAATGATGGGAAGTGACCGTTTGGGAAACTAAAACGTTAGTTGGGTGGTTTGTTGGTCTGTTTTGTTAGTTGGGTTGTTTGTTGGTCTGTTTTGTTATATCATCATCATCAGGTGCCTTGCCGACTGGCATGGGCGATCATGCCTCTCCATAATCTGCGATCTCCTGCAGCATGTATCAGTTTGTGTGCCGACACACCTCCATGCCATGCAACAAGACTGTCAAGCATCTTCTCTCATTGTCTTCCTCTATCTCTCCTTCCACATATCTTTCCAGTGGTCACAACATGTTCTATTTTCCCTATTCTCATAACATGGCCGAAAAATGATAACTGTCTCCTTCTGATGTCTTTGATAAGTTGTCTTCGGGCTCCCGCCTCTTTCAAAACCTCTTGGTTGCTCTTTTTGGCTGTCCAAGGTATTCTAAGCATTCTTCTGTAAAACCACATCTCTGAGGCCTCCAGAAATTGTGTGGCCTGCCTACCGATTGTCCAGGATTCACAGCCATATGTTAAAACTGGATGTATGTAGCAAGCAAGAATTCTTTTTCTAACTCTTAATGACAAGGATATATTGAACAAGATGTTTTTCATTTTATAAAATGCAGTTTTTGCCTGTCCTATTCTGTTTCTTATTTCAGTTATGCATCTTCCATCTGATGTTATCCATGTGCCCAGATACTTAAATTTCTGAACAATTTTGATCCATGGACATACCTGAGTGTACAAAACAGAGTGCCAAGAAGAAGCAGAAAAAATATTTTGATATTACATTATTTTGTTATATGCCTGAATCATTTCCCATATTTCTGGGTCTTTAGAACAGATGTCACTGTTTTTAGTGCAGAGCAATTTTGATACATGGTCAGACCTAAGAATACAAAACTGAGTGTCAAGAAGAAGCAGAAAAAATATCTCAGTCAGTCAAATGCTGTCTTCACAGTAAAGTTTGGCTGAAACATCAACACATTTTATCTCTCACATGGAACACTTTGTCTTTTGGTATTATATGTTCACTTATTTTGCACTTGTTTGCTTGCTGTAGGCCTGTTCTGTTTCTTTCAACAATGTTGTTTTATTTTCAGCCACTTAAAGACGCTTTTGAATGGTTTTTTTTTATTTGTATAAATCTTTTATATTCAGCATAAAATTATATAAATTGTTAAATAGTTTTCTCTGTTACGTTACTGCTTTATAATTAAAGGTTAGGAGAAAATTTTTAAACTTCCATCTCTCTTATAGTTCCATCTCTCTTATAGTTAATTGTTGTTGTTGTTATAGGAGAGCGTTCACCAACTGTTTACCTCAGCGGAAAGACCTGGTTGTTCATCCACTTCTAGACTTTGGCTTTCTTCCAGTACCTGAGTTTTGCATGTGCATCTGTTTTACAGATCTTGCTTATTTATGCAGACTGTTGGTTCTCTGCCTCTCAGGCAGATGCACTGCGACTAAGAAGAAATCTTCCAATTAGTTGACTCTTACGACATGCTTATTGGGAAGGCACTGGGTCTATTCTTGTTTTCCCCACAATGGGACCCTGGAACCCACACGGGGAACTTAAAGTTAATTATTTTCCTTCCTTTTCTGTTGCTAACTTTCACCACTTGTTTCCTTCATCTGTTTCTTTCCTCTTAAATTTACCTTTAAATAGGTCAGTTATAACAAATGATATTTAAACCTGTTAAATCCCCGTGTGGGTTCCTGGGCCCTGTTGTGGGGAAAACAAGAATAGACCCACTGCTTACCCAAAAGCATGTCGTAAGAGTCGACTAATTAGGAGCTTCCTTCAAAGTCAGAATGCATCTGACTTAAGAGGCAAGGAACCAGCAGTCAACATACAGATGAGACAGATCTGTGAAATGGATGCACACACAACAAACACTCAGGTTCTGGAATACGACTGCAGTCCAGAAGTGGATGAACAACCAGAACTTTCCGCTAGAGTTTACAGCTGGTGAACGCGAAGAAGAAGAAGAGGAAACGTGTTGAAGGGTGACTGATTAAATTACACGTACGTTGAATGAATTGAGTTGTGAAAAGGATTCTTTCTTTTCTAAGGCAAGCTGCTGTAGTGCAGTGTCTGGCAAGCTTCTCTGGTGGTCTTGCTCAGATTTGCCTTGTTTAACACTTCTAAGATTTTATACTTGTAACAAAGCGAAGACCTGCTGTGTATAATGCTTATAACACCTTACACCTATATAGCTTAACACTTCTAAGATTTTATACTTGTAACAAAGCCAAAACCTGGTGAATATAAAGATTATAACACCTTACATCTATATAGCTTAACACTTCTAAGACTATATATACTCTTTAAAAATAAAAGGCACATATATAAAGCTTCTAAAACTTTATATCCTTATAGCTAAGACTATTTTGTTTTTTAACCTGGCACAAAGATATAATTTGTTCCCAGATTATCCACATGGACTCTGCAAAAATTGTAGGCTCCAATGATCCAACTTTCCAGTGTGATGGAACCACATCAACATTTCGTGTTATGTTTAAAGAACCTGTGGAAATACTGCCAAACACTAGCTACATTGCCAGCGCCACATTAAAGGTGTGTTCTGTATTGCTCATATATTTTTTCCATGCACAGAATAATTCACTCCCCTTCTTCTCTTCTTTTCTCTACTCCTGGAATGCCTCGCGGCATCAGGGGAGAAACAGATCCCTAGAACGGGTCTTTCTGTTTGCTTCATATATAGTACTTTTCAGTGTCTCTGATAATTCTCCTGTTCATCTTCTGCGTGGTCGACCCCCTTGAGTTTGTTCCAACTGTATCTATATAACATTGATCTCTGTGGTGCCCTGGTTTCTGCCAATCTTGTTACATGGCCAAACCATTTGATTAATTCACTATTATGTTCATCTTCTTCTTTGTGTTCACCAGCTGTACACTCTGGCGTAAAGTTCTGGTTGTTCGTCCACTTCTGGACTGCAGTCATGCTCCAGAACCTGAGTGTTGCATGTGCATCAGTTTTACAGATCTGATTCAATTGAATGCAGACTGCTGGTTCCTTGCCTCTCAGGCAGATGCACTCCGACTTCAAAGGAAGCTCCCCAGTTAGTCGACTCTTACGACATGCTTTTGGGGAGGCAGTTGGTCTATTCTTGTTTTCCCCACAATAGGGCCCCGGAACCCACACGGAGGACTATTATGTTCAAATGTGTTTTTTCTTTTGCATCTTGTGCTTGTGACAAACAGATATCATAATCCCCCAAATTATCCTATTATATGAACTGTTTATGGGCGCCCCATTTTGGAGGGAAAATAATAGACCTACTGCCGCCTAACAAGGACATCGTAAAAGCTGACTAAGAATTTGCTTCAATTGGATGCGTTGGACCACAACACAACATGCCAACCCCCTATTAAGAGGTAACGCTGAAGAAGAAGAAGAAGAATGTTCTTATTGTTTATTTTTGCTGTGTGCGTGTAATTTGCTTTAGTAAATGGCTGAGTTGATTATGAATCGGCAGACTGATTCGCATTGTTTTGGACAATGTTATAAATGTCATACTGTTCAGTAAGAAAATGACAAATTCATCATTACTATGTAGCAGGTCTTTCATAGTATGTCGTCCTTTACAGCACACCAGAAGTCAACTCCGTCCCTTGTCAGCCTTCTTGGCTCCTGAATTTTCTTCTTTATTAGTGTCCACTGGCTGTAAACTCCTGTGAAATGTTGTGGTTGTTCATCCACTTCTAGAATTAGTCTTGTTCTAGAACTTGTGTTTTGCATGCGTTGTATAGATCTGGTTTATTTGTATGCAGACTGTTGGTTGCTCGCATCTCAGGCAGATGCACTCCAAGGAACACCCCTAATTAGATGACTCTTATGACATGCTTGTTAGGGGACAGTGGGTCTATTGTCTTTGTTCCCCACAATGCCTTAAAACCTACATGGGAAATAAGTAGTCTAAACATGGATATTTTATACCCACTGCTATTTTGTACCAAAATATCTCAAGATCAGTAGTGACTGTTAGAGGCCTGTTTGTCATTTTTGCTTTAAGTTTACTTGTGACTTGATCTCAGATAAGCTCAGTCTACAGATTTTCACCAGTTTGATCTTATTCCACTTTCTAAATCTGTAGGGTTTTTCCCAGCTGCTGATTACATTTTGTTTACAGAAGTAGGCTACTACCGCCCCCTCTCCTTCTGCATCATTCTAACATTCTTTTCTCCTTCCCAATCCAGACTGTACTTTTGGCTCAGTTCACCCCTATCCATGTTCTAGTGCCCCAGCTGGTGGTATCACCCACATAAGGGAAACAGTGTACAGACAAAAGAAACCATGATAAGTTTCCTTTATTTGTATTATAATAAACAAAGTTAACATTAAGAATACCAAGTTTGTTCATTGTTTGAACTGTCAAACTGCAAGATGTTCATAACTGCTGCAGTAACTAAGTCTGCTTCAAGAAAGATATCCCATTTTGTGACACATATCTGTCTGCATTCCAATGAAAGTGTCCACAAGTCTCTTGAGAACCATCTCATCTGTCTCATAGGCTTTCTATTACCTGAGGGCTTTAGTGTCCAACACAGGTTTACCCAAAAATTAAGTTATGACCCCTGCTATTTCTACCTTTCTTCTTCCTGCATCACACCTGACTCAGATTTTTTACTTAGACATGGATATTTTTGTGAGAGACCTCAACTTACATACATAAAACTGATTCTGTGTTCTTGTTTGAAATTGTTGTAGTGCCCTTCTGTGCCATAGCTGAGGAAGGCTTTCTAGCCACAATGTTTATTTGTTGTTTGTGATAATGTTAGGCTGAATTAGTTTTTTTTTAAATAATCTTTTCATGATATTTCTGTCTGCAGGGCCCTGATTCGTATTATGGCTCTAAAGGTCTGCGTAAAGTCACCCATGAATCAGTTTCCAGTGGCAAGGTCACTTTTCAGTTCACGTATGCAGCTGGTAATAACAATGGGACTTCAGTTGAAGATGGACAGATACCCGAAATTATTTTTTACACATGACCATTTAAATGTTTATCTGTCTACATTTTTTTGTTCAGGGGTCTGTGTTCAAGTCTGGTTGTTGACCTTTTCTAATTGTCTCAGGAAATGTGGATATACAGAAGAATAGGTTGTATTTCATAAAAACAAATACAGAGGTTCTGGAAAGACTGGGAATGAAAATAGAGCTACTGAAAGAAATAAAATAGAGACCGTTGAAATATTTTGGTCACCTTAAAAGGCATAATACTGTTTAGAAACCATACTGGAGGGAAAAGTTGAAAGCAAGACAGTATGGGGTAGACATCACTACAAGTTGGAGGACAACATCAAGAGATGCACAAACAGCTGTCTGAATGAGTGTACTACCAAGACAAGAGTGTGTTGGAGATCCACTACTACCAACCTGCATTCTACAGACGGCACCTGATTGATTTGTATACATTTCTTGCAGTGTGCTCCAGATGATATATTGTAGTGCAGTAAATCATACATATACCTGCCAGGTCAATTGTCGATACAACTAGCGTTTTAGTCCTCAAACAGTCACTTCACATCATCACTCAAGATGTTTTGGCCTTTCATTCATGTTTCGTGACCTTACCATGCGCTGTTCTATGTCACAGGGGTATCACATGTTGTCTTCAATGCTTTCAGCTTTCTAACTTGAGCGGCCAGCAAAACATTTTTTTTACTCATTGTTGTCAGCGGCCGGCAACATTGCATAACATCCTTGTTGGGAAAGCAGTGGGTCTATTCTTGTTTTCCTTTTTCCCCACAAGATCCTGGAACCCACACAGGGATTTTTGTTTGTTAAATTAACCCCCCCCCCCCCCCTTTTTTTTTTTTCAACAGAAATATAGAAATATGGATACAAGCTTCTTTTTTTTTTTGTCTGCCCCACAAGTGCTGTATAATATAAGAAGAAAATGTTGCTTTCAGTTAGTAAACAAATTAAATTCTCCACACTAAGTAGAATTTCAAATATATTTTTACTTTTGTTCCTGGGAACTCATGTTTATTCATGTCTTCCTCCTCTGTGGTGTATATTTTGCTAAGTTGTTTTATTCTAATAGTGGTAGTCTCTCATATTGACTCTTTGGTCCACACAGTGCACCATGTGTAACTAAATGTTACTTATTTGTACCAGTCAGCGTGTTATGTGTGTTTTATATCTTACGTTAGGACACAGCCAAAGCACTCTGACAGCGTATTTGTTTCCTACAAGAAGATCATTGGCCGCCAACCTGTCCTGTGAATATGGCACATAACTTAATCTGGTCCAGTATTGCCTTCTACATGTCTGCTGTACTTTAATTGTGAACCACAAAAATAATTGTATGTTTTTTAAAGAAATATTTGACAAATAATTAAGTTAATTTAACAATTCCTAACTTGGTTTGAACAGCAGGGCAGTGTTGTTGTTGTTTGTGTACACTGGCTGTAAACTTCAGCAGCAAAACGTGGCTGTTCATCTATTTCTGGACTTCGGCTTTGTTCAAGGATCTTAGTTTTGCATGTGCATCTGTTTTACAGATCTTGTTTATTGTTACACCGACTGCTGGTTCGTTGCCTCTCAGGCAGATACACTCTGACTTTGAAGGAAGGCCCCCCCCCCCCCCCCCGCGCCAATCAGTTGCCTTTTACGACATGCTTCTTGGGAAGGCAGTGGGTCTATTCTTCTTTTTCCCTGCAATGGGGTCCCGGAACCCATACAGGAAGCAGGGTAGTACTTAGTGTAAACATTACGGGTGCCTAATTATAACTTATTAGGAAGTAGAATAGGGTGTCTGACATTTGTCCTGCTAGTTTACCATCCAGAATAGACTCTTTGAGTCACAGGTATGGTTGTCAAGTATTCGGGTAGCAACTTGGAGGGGCAGAAACAGTCGATTTAATTTAATGCTTCTTTCTCATTATTGTAATTGTAGCAGTGTTTCCCCATTGTAAATCTGCGTAAAGAAGACAAATGATGGATTGCACAATTTATTGCCTGGCATGTTTTGCTTCATCTTAACAGGTGCAAACTACAGTAACAGTTAAATATTATGAAAAACGCTTTGCATCATTATATTCAGCTATTACTCCCAGGTTGACCCAGCCTTAAATGGATACCAGGTAAAGTCCTGGGAAGTAAAGGTGGCCGGCATGATGCTGACCACATCACCCACTGAATACTTATTGGCTTGCAAAGCAGAGGTCTAGCCCTGCATGCCTAATAGGCCTAAAGGAATAGAAAAGTATCCTTTACTTACTGTAATATGGACTTGAGATGCCGCGAAATATGCCAGGCAGTGAATTGTACAATCTATTGTGTATGTCTTCTTTGTTCAAATATTGAAATTGTAATTACATAAGCCAAGTGATTAGGAATTTACCTACACATTCTAGTCTGTTATTGCTTATGGTCTTCAGTTTTATTGTTGTCAGTATTGTGATATAATGTGAGTCCATACAAGTATAAACTGATGGTGATGTAATATAATTTAAGAGCATTGCTGTATAATTGTGTCCTTATGCTAATAAATAATGTCTCATTTATGCACATCAGCTGGTTTATAAAATCTATTGTTGTAGTGCATATAAATAAATTAATTAAAAGCACTTAGTTATTTGTGTTTTTATAGTTAGTTTCTATCTACAACAGTGGCTCTTAACCTTCCTAATGCAGCGACCCTTTAGTAGTTTCCTCATGTTGTGGCGACCTCCAAACAATTATTTTTCTTCATAACTTCAATGAATATGTGTTTTCCTATGGTCTTAGGTGAAAAGGGTAATAACTTTTTACTATTCATATATTGTGCATTTTAATGAATATTTTTCTCCTTTATCTTGTTTGTGCCTTGTTTGACATTGGTCTGAGACTGCTCAAGGAACATACACTCAGATATATCTAAACTTGAGCAATATCAGATGCTATCCTGACTTCTTATTCTTCATTGTAGCATTCACTGGCTATAAACTCCGGTGGAAAGTTCTGGTTGTTTGTCCACTTCTAGACTTAAATCTCATTCCAGAACTTGAGTTTTGCATGTAGGTTTTTATTTTATTTTGTTTAACAGATCTGACTTATTTGTGTGTCAACTGTTGGTTCTTTGCCTCTCAGGCAGATGAACTGACTTCGGAGGAAACAGCCCTAATTAGTTGCCTTTTACGACATGTTAGTTAGGGTCCATTTCCCCTCCCCCTCAATAATGGGGCCCTGGAACCCACACTAGGACTCCATCCTGACTAGGTAAATGGCAACCCCCTAGGAGGGGGCACAACGGCAGTCAGAAGTCAGGAATTGTATCACGGAATGCAAGAGATGTTAAATTTTGTTTCCCAGTGGTGTGCTTCTTCTTTTGTGTTCATCTTGACAGGGCAGTTGGCATGTTGTGTTGTGGTTTACACTTAGACTGTGATATCTGCACCATTTGACCCAATACAAGTGATTTCAGCAAATCCTTAATTCGTCAACTTGATGACATGCCTGTTAAGGAGAGGTGGGTTTTTATGTGTGAACTCTTATCTTTTTTCTTCTTCACATTAACCAGCTGGTAACTCCGAAACTAACTTCTGGTTGTTCATCCACTTCTGGACTCTAGTCCTGTTCCAGAAACTAAGTGTTGCGTGCACATTCATTTCACAGGTCTGATTGTATGCAGACTGTTGATTCCTTGCCTCTCAGGCAGATGTACTCCGACTTCAAAGGAAGCTCCCAATTAGTCGACTCTTACGACATGCTTTTGGGCAAGCAGTGGGTCTATTCTTGTTTTCCCCACAATGGGGTCCCATCATATGATCCTAGTTGTGCTTGACGATATTCTGGGAGGACTCAAAGATTCACTATCGTTGCTTCAAGCCCTCAAGAGTGGTTAACTCCCTCATCTGAGATCTGAACTTAGCAAGGTGGCTGCCCAAAAGCGTACTGTACTCCAGTGGATGCCGTCCCACTGTAGTATACCATGAAACAAAACCACAGATAAACTTGTTAAGAAAGGGGCGGAATGTAAACAGGAAGAGAATGCTGTAACATATTTTTTTTTTTAAAGGCTATCCAGTCTCTCAGAAGTGAACAAAATAAGGCCAGAGATGACTACCACTTACATGACTGGCATGGACAGGTCATTGTTCTATGCCTCAGGATAGGACATAACAAACCTAAAAAGCACAAGCACAGGCTTTGTCTAAGAAGTTCATCATTGTGCCCATGTGCTGTATGCGCAGACTACAGAGCAAGAATGTCCCTTGTAAAGCCCATTAAGAAGAGAATACTGGCCCGCTGAGTCAACACTGTACTCAAGAGTTAGAAGTAATGAAAACATAAAGGACCCTTTTCCACGCCTTTCCGCATAGAGGGCTAGACCTCTATTTTATAGACCAAGAGGCACTTGGTGGGTGATGTTGTCAACACCACACTAGCCACCTTTACTTCCCAGGACTGCACCTGATACCCACTGAAGGCTTGGTTCGACCTGGGAGCCAAGGTCATTTTTTAAGAAAGCCCGGTTCCACCTGAACCTGAACCCACGACATTCTGATCCGTAGGCCAGAGTCTAGCCGCTACACCACGGCCACTCCCACTAAAAATTGTATGGAACTAAAAGAGAACTCCTGAAAAAAAAAACAGCTAAGAACTTGTCTGTAGGTCTAAATTAGAAGGCGAACACAAGAAGGAGGAGGAATCACTTTTACCAACACAGTATGGTAGATTCAAATATACTTGAGTGAAGACAGCCTGTGCGTTACTTGAGCTCTAAAAAAGAAACAAAACATATGTAGAGTAACTTATCAAGCCATACATGTTACTGGAGGCCTTTTATTTTCAATTTTAATAATGCTCATCATCACATAAATAAGCATGTTGAATTAAGAATCAACATCACAGCACTCGGGACACCCCCATAAGCGCTCCATCCCAGTCTTCAGCAGCAAGCGAAGATTTAAAATTCCCATGGTACCAATAACTTTGATTGTATATCCGTTTCGCCTTTCCTCTGAGTGTCAAGCGTTGGCCAGATCTACTTGTATCTCCTCGC